ACCAAACAATGAATAAATAAAAACAAAAAGATAAAATGCCACAAAAAATGAAAATGAAAAAAAAAAAATCTCGCCCTACCTGAAAAAAAGAACAAACAAACAAACAAAAAAATAAGACAAAAAAAAAAAAAATGAAAAACAAAAATAAACATCTCTCCCTGCCACTCTTCCTCGCAGCCCGTGAAGGAGAGCACACGTGTCGGTCCGACCAGATCACGTGTGTTGTGGACGGCCGCTGCGTCATGAAACACTACGCGTGCGACGGGAAGAACGACTGCGGCGACTGGTCTGACGAACGCGACTGCAACACCTCCTCTTGCAACCCGAATGATTTCAGGTGAGGTCTGGGGTCTTCATCCTAATCTTAAATTTTGGGGGACATCTGAGGGATTTGGGGAATTTGGGGGGGGGGGGAATTCTGGGGGGAATCTGGGGGATTTGGGGGGGGGAATCTGGGGGGGAAATTCTGGGGGGAATCTGGGGATTTGGGAAATTGGGGGGAATCTGGGGGAAATTCTGGGGGAAATTTGGGGGGGAATCTGGGGATTTGGGGGAATTTTGGGAGGAATGGGGGGGGGGGGATTTGGGGGAAATTTTGGGAGGAATCTGGGGGATTTGGGGAAATTTTGGGAGGAATCTGGGGATTTGGGGGAAATTTTGGGAGGAATCTGGGGATTTGGGGGAAATTTGGGGGGATCTGGGGATTTGGGGGAAATTTTTCTGGGGGAGAGGAATCTGGGGGATTGGGGAAATTTTGGGAGGAATCTGGGATTTGGGGGAAATTTTGGGAGGAATCTGGGGGATTTGGGGGAAATTCTGGGGGAATTTTTTTTTTGGGGGGGGGGATTCTTGGGGGACTTTGGGGACTTAATTTGGGGGGGGAGATCAGTGGACTTTGGGGAAATCTTAGTCTGGGGAAATTTGGGAAAATCTGGGGAAAAGCGGAAGGAATTGGGGCAAAGCGGGGGTAGGTCTGGGGGGAAAGGGGGGGGGGGATAGGGGAAAACGGTGGTAAATCTGGGGGAAAGTGGGAAACATCGAGTGGAAATCGGTTGGAGAGGGGGGGGGGGGACTTGGGATACTATTTTCATATATACTCGGATAATTCTAACTTAGCCTTAGGGATTAAACCTGGGGATATGTAATAACATTTTCACCGTCAAATGAAGCTAAAATAATGAAAATACTGTTAAGATTATGGGAAGTGAAACATCAGTATTGTATTGAATAGGAAAAATGGAGCACTATAAGTATGCAATAACAGAGTATTACTGATGTTTATATTGAGTATGTATATATATATACATATCCATATATGAGTGCATGTAAGTCTAAAGTTATTTTCAGATCAAATGCCCTAAAATGCATCTAATAGATATTTAGTTAATCTAAACTTCCATCCACAACACAAACTTTCGATACATCACCCTTAATCCACGACAATCATTAGATTAGATAAATAAAATACCCATAGATCAACCCAGTAACCTAGACTGACCTTTGACCTGTATCCCCTTCCACAGGTGTCGAGGGGGGGCCTGCATCGACTTCCACTGGGTGTGTGACGGGTCAGAGGACTGTGATGGGGGCGAGGACGAGGATAACTGCCCTGACCCCGCCGATGACCTTGGACCTTTCATTACGGTGAGTTGGGTCAAGGTCGAGGTCGAATGGGGGATGCGAGGTCACATAATAGAGCTTGGAGGAAGTGTTTGTTTGTCTTTGGTTGTGTGTGTCTGTGTGCGTGTGTCCGTGTCCTTCTGTCCACTTTTCTCTCTCCCTCTCTCCTCTCTCTCTGTCTGTCTCTCTCTCTCTCTCTCTCTCTCTCTCTTCTCTCTCTCTCTCTCTCTCTCTCTCTCTCTCTCTTCTCTCTCTCTCTCTCTCTCTCTCTCTCTCTCTCTCTCTCTCTCTCTTCTCTCTCTCTCTCTCTCTCTCTCTCTCTCTCTCTCTCTCCTCTCTCCTCTCTCTCCCTCTTTCTCTCTCTGTCTTTCTCCCTCCCTCCCCATCTCCCTCTCTTTTCTCTTCCCCTTCTCTTTACTCTTCTCTCTCCCCCCTGTCCACCCCTCTCTCTTCTCTTCTCTCTCTCACTGTATGTATGTACTTGTATAAGATTTTCTTTCTGGCAGGTTGAGTAATCCTACATAGCTTTGAAGCTGGCCAGAGAACCTCATATATATATATATATATATATATATATATATATATATATATATATATATATATATATATATATGTGTGTGTGTGTGTGTGTGTGTGTGTGTGTGTGTGTATGTATATATATATATATATATATATATATATATATATATATATATATATATATATATATATATAATATATATATATATATATATATATATATATATATATATATATATATATTATATATATATATATATATATATATATCATCACTATATTCCAGAAGCCTCAGTTCTTCTAGTTTGTCAGTGGTATATCCTTAATGGCAAGATTCTGTAGTTACTCCTTTTCAGTTATTCCTTCATAGAACAAACCCCAAAGAGCTAGGCTATTGTTTCAGGAAGTTTTTATGTCATTGATAGGCCACAGGATTGCAGACAGTGATCGGTATTTCAGTTGCATAGGGTCAGCAATTTTTTTTAACTCTGTTGATATTCAAGATTGCTTATAATTGATTATGTTTCTGCTTTAGGGAATTAACTGAGTGTAGTGGTATCCTATAATTTTCTTGAGTGGGGAACATGGCAGTAATAACAAGCATACACACACACACACACACACACACGATATTCACGTTGACGAATGTGCAAAGGTATGAATGAGAATGAATATCTTCACAATACGAGAGATGTATTTGACCGGTTTCAAATCTATCTTCGTCAGAATTACATGTATTCCTGACCGGTCAAATACATCTCTCGCATTGTGAAGATATTCATTCTCATTCATACCTTTCTACATCACTCAAAAACATACACAAAGAATTTTGAAACCACATCAACAATCCAACCATCGCCCCAGAACCTCCCTCTCGACCAAACGTGTCCCCGACATGTTTTAACAATCCCCCCCCTCTTCCCCCCCTTTAGAGACAGGAGTGCCCCGAAGGCCACCTCTACTGCCCTCCCAGATGCGTGTCTCCGGAGTGGCAGTGCGACGGCCACAACGACTGCCCCAACGGAGAGGACGAGACTCACTGTGAGATCACTTGCGCCACGGAGGAATTCACGTGCTCGTCCGCCATGTGCATTCCCTGGAGCCACGTGTGCGACGGCCACCAGCAGTGCCTGCATGGCGATGGTAAGTCCGTCGGTAGGTCCTCTGTTCCCCTCCTGTGTTATAGTAAGTTTCAAGACCGAAAAGACAGGTTTATTTAGAGTCTAGGAGAGGGATGGGCATCTTCCCAAGTGATTCTCCTGCTTAATGGTTATATAATATCGTTAAAAAGTCTGCAATCAATAGAAAGATTTTAATGATAATCAGATTCAAAAGCAACCCACAGACTTATGGGCAACGAAAAGAAAGCCTTAATGATCATTAAACTCAAAGGCAGGTAAAAAAAGGCCTTTAAGGATAATCAGACTTATAGGCAACCAAAAAAGGCCTTTAGTGATAACCAGACTCAAAAGACAACCAAAAGAAGGGCTTTAATGATATTCTGACTCAAAGGCAACTCAAAAAACCACCTTTAATGATAATCAAACTCAAAATCAACCAAAAGATGACCTTTAATAAATAACCACACTCATAACGCAACCAAACGAAGGCCTTTAATGATAACCAGACAAAAAAGCGCCCAAAAGAAGTCTTCTAATAATAACTAAACTCAAAATCCACTAAAAGAAAAGGCCTCTGATAATAACCAAACTCAAAAAAGACAACCGAAAGAAGGTTTCTCCACACAAACCCAAAATCTACCCAAAAGAAAAGGCCTTTAATTGTAAAAAGACTCAAAAGAGACAACCGAGTGATTTCTAACAATAATCAAACCCAAAATCTACCCACAAGAAAAGGCCCTTTAATAATACTCGGACTCCCCCTCCCCCCCTCCAAAAAAAAAAAAAAAAATACCCCCTCCCTTTCTGCCGCCGAGGGAAAGGAAGACCACTTGAGTACCACCACCTCCTCCTCCTCCTCCCGCAGACGAGTTCAAGTGCCAGACCGTCGAGTGCGAGGACCAAGGCTGCTCAGACGCCTGCCACTTCGACGGGGAGACGTGTCTGTGCCAACCCGGCTTCACTCTCGCCAAGGACAACGTCACGTGAGTACTGCCTTGTCGTATTTTTTCATTACATTTACTCTACTTATTTATTTCATTTACTTTCATTTTTAAGTCTTATGAGATTCTCTTTTGTTTGTCTTTGATTTTTTTTGTGCTTTGTTTTTTTTTTCTTTATTTTGTCTATTCATTTTTATTATTCTTTATTTTTTTATTTTTTTTTGTGTGATTTTTTTTCTTTGTATCTTTCTAGGATGTTCTTTTTTGTTTGTCTTAGATTTTTTGTGATTTGGTTTTCTTTGGTCTTAATTTTTATTTTTTTTATTTTTTTACTAAATCTTTTTCTTTTTTGGTTTGTGATCTTTTAGTTGTTGTTTTTTATTGATTTACTTTGTTGAATCTCTTTCATCTTTTTATTGATATTCTGTTATTTATTCTCTTAAAGATTTTATCTTTTCGTTGTTTACTCTTTTTAAAGATTTAGTTTTTTATTGTTTTTCTTTGTTTATTATTCTTTATTTCTTGTTATTTTTTCGATTGATTTGTTCATTCTCTTTGAGTTTTTATTATTCATTATCTTTTTTGCTTCGTTTTCAGTTTTTATTTCTATGTTTGATTTTCATTTTTATTTTTTTATTTTTTATTTGCCAATTATCTTTTTTTTCTTTATTTGTTCTTTTTGAGGAAAAAAAAGTTCTCGTCAATTGAAGTTCTCCGTGGGTTTGTACATGGAGAAATTTGGTGACTAATGTGTATGTATTAAAAAAGAAAACACTATATATATATACACACGTACATAACCGTATATGTAAATACATGAAATGAAAAAGGTTAAAAAAAAACACATATACCACGGCAACTTTTATTTAAAGGGAGACAAATAACGACAAAAAAAGAGGCTACATTGTGATTTTATTTTTCGGATGTGTCACCGTGTCATTCAAGCGCAGGGAAGTTAATGCTGTGGGTGCTGTCATGCTCTCCGCTGAAGCAGCCGCCCATCTGTAACACAGGAAGTCAGGAAGGTCATGAGCAAGGCTTTCTTTGTTTTGTTTTGTTTGTTTGTCTGGATCTTTCTCTGGGTCTCTGTTTTTTGTGTCTGTATCTGATTTTGGATCTCGTTTTCTCTCTGATTTTTTTCTCTTTATTTATTTTTTGTCTCTCCCTCACTCTTTCTCTGTCTGTCTATCGATATATCGGTATGTCTCTGTCTCCGTCTCTCTCTCTCTCTTTTTCTCTTTGTCTGTCTGCCTCTCCTTCTCTGTTCTTTTCTACATGTTCCAAAGGAAATAAGGGCTAGCAGTTCTGTCCAGCCATTGGTATTACCTCACAGTAATTATTGTTTTATATTCCATCTTTATATTTACTTACTCTTTCACTCACTCACTCGTGACTTACCTCCGGACTTTCCTTCTCAATGCATTTGCGCACTTTTCCTAGGGCTGTAGTGTCCTTCTCGTCACAACCTTGACCCAAGTGAAAAAAAAAGCGTATTTAAACGAATGTTAACAATTCTGTATCCACTACATCCCAAAATATCGTTTGGAAATCCAAGAAGGATCATCTAAGATTTATGACTTAATCTTACCTGGGATTTCCTCCAGGCAACGAAGGAGATTTTCGACAGGCAGTTGAGGCACATCTACTTCCATCAAGCATTTTTTGCATTCGGTGTAATCCGGTGACATTTTACACAGCAGCTCTGTGAATGAGTGTTGGAGTGTTCACCATCAAGTGTATCTCGATATGATAAGTACATGAAAAGTTATGAATGAGATTGAATATCTTCCCAATACAAGAGATAGTCACTCATCCATACCTTTTCTGCATGTGTCAGCATGAATAAGGTTCATAAAGAGTCATGGAAAATCACGGAAATTGAAAATGGAATTTCCAGACCTGGAACATCATGGAATTTCATATATATATATATATATATATATATATATATATATATATATATATATATATATATATATATATACGTAGCTGTGTGTGTGTTTGTGTGTATCTATGTATGTATATGTATAAGTATATATTCATAAATGTATATATGCATATATATACACATACATAATTATATATATACTGTATATGTATATATATGTAGATATAGATATATGTATAGATGTTTCAGAGAAGGAAGGTCATATGTAACAATTCTTTATGATAATCTGAAATATTACAAGAGAGATACGGCTGGGTGGACTGTGTGTACTTGGACTTTAAAAAGGCTTTTGATAAGGTGTCTCATAGAAGACTACTATGGAAATTAGAGCACCTGGGTGGCGTGAAAGGCGAACTACTCGCATGGATGAAAGACTTTCTTCATGAAAGACAGACGATCACTGTAATTAGAGGGAAGCATTCTACATGGCGACGAGTAACCAGAGGAGTGCCTCAAGGATCGGTGTTGGCGCCGATTATGTTTACTATTTTCGTCAGTGATTTATAGTCAAACATAAGTCCATGTAGTTATATAAAAAAGAAATAGAAACAAAGACACAGGGAATGCCAAACAAATAAAATAAACTGAAATGAAATAAAAACTTACTGACACACTGAAAGATTTTAGCGTAAACATTCTTGTCGATGTCTTGGCCCTGAATCTCAAAGCTGTCTCCAGGAGCCTCGAGACACAGCAGCACAAGCAAGCACAAAAGTCTCATTTCCTGCGTTCTGTGGTGAAAGCGAGAGCACAGGAGTCCAAAGAGCAGGCATGGAGAAAATCTAAGCACATTTGTTGGTACTTAATAGATACATAATTTGGCAATGGTAATTAGGTATCGGGAAAGGTATATGGGATAGATAAGGGCAGTGGTAGTGGCAATACCGATTATAGTGATGATGGCTTTAGTAATGATAAAGATAATGACTACATAACGTTAATTGTAGTGATGATTGTGCTAAGGATAATGGTGATCGAAGATACAAAAAAATAATTAGAAGCTCTCAGAGAGCGCATACCTCCGGCAAGGGAATAAAGTCCCTGATGGAATGAAATATTCGCACGAAGAATTACATTAAAATCTCTTCTTTCTCAAGTACACTGGTGACGTCCATAACCATAAATTCCTTGGCGGAAGCAATAATGATAATAGTTTCTTAGAAAAATCTTGAGCCTGTAAAATTTAATGGGATCTAAGTTAGGTTAAGCCACACCTCTGGTAAGAAAAAAATAAAGATCTGTTTGTAACTTTTTGAGTTATCCTGCTAACCAACCAACAAACTTACTAACCAACGCTACCAAAACACATCTTGGCAGAGGTAATGATAAGCGTTTTAGGAATGATAATGAA